CTAAGCTAGAAGTAGTTGAAGCATGAAGTGAGGTATTAGCGAGCTTATTTTCCTCTCTTAAAAATTTTCCGATATCTAATATATAAAATTCTCGTGTCGCGGTGTTTGTGGTTAAACTCCTCCGAAACGGCTCGACCGATTATCATGAAATTTTGTGTGCATATTGGGTATGTCTGAGAATCGGACATCATCTATTTTTCTTCCCCCTAAATGTTAAGGGTAGTCCACCCCTAAATATATTTTTTTTATTTTTAGATATTTTTTCCTGTTTTTATTTTTTTATGATACAGCATTAAAAAATAAATACATACAACCCCTAATTTTCACCCCTCGACGATCAACCCCTTTTTTTATTATAAATGATATACATGGCAAAACGACGTTTGCCGGATCAGCTAGTATACTTAGATAATATATATTATCTACGTAAGAACATAATAAACCTAAACACAAACCTTTTCAATCGTGTTTGTAAATGTTTATACGATTTAACACTACTATACACTATTGCTTGTTATTTCATGAGGAATTTAATTGTATTCAGAATTTGTTTAATTTTAATTAAATTATAGTATCCTTAACTTGCTTAACATATGAAATTGAAGTTTTGTTGTACTGGCCAGTACTTTGACCGCAAATACTTATCTATTCTTTAGTTAGGAACTCGAAATTATTTTTTTTACTCTTGCATTTTTTTTCGAAGAAAAAAACATTCATTTCTTTTTCCCGTGTTATTTTTCTTCTCTGCGTCACTATATTCATAAAATGGAAAACATGAAATATCGCGTTATTTACGAGTACGAATTCGGTGTTAGTGATAAAATTGTATTAATCCATTAACATTTTTTTAAATTTGGATAACTTCTTGGAAGGTAAAAACCTGAACTCTGATGGGGCAGTCGAAACCGCCTTCAAATGTTTTATTGATTCCTGAGTTACGAGTATGTACCTTTAACTTTAGCTAAGCTACATATAAATATTTAAGGTAATAATTAGAAGTGTAAACCAAATGTAAACAATCATAGTACACTTGAAGCCAGTATTGAGCCCTTTAGCCACACTTATAAATTGTATTTTAACATTCTCGTTTCCAATAAGGTCCAATAACATAATGTCATTTTGATTTATGAACTCATAGTGTGGCCATAGACGGACCGCATGTTGCAGTCGATACCAACTGCTCTAAGCGGTCGCTGCACGGCGATCTGCAGTTTCCATACTAAATTCATATCCGCCATACACGGACCGCACGACCAGTTTCTGAGCGGTCGGAGCAGTCGCTCTGCGGTCGAGTTTTGGCGTGCGGTCGACTGCTTAGAGCTGCCGGACCCACCATACACGGACCGCTACAAGCGTTTGTTGCCGACCGCGCGCCTCTACCTCAAATAAAATAAAATACTAACTAATTCATCAAATGAAACCACGGACATTCTAAAGTCGTTGAAAAAAATTTAGTGTCTTCTCTAAGCTGGGGATACAAAGTATGAAATATTCCATGCTGTTCTCTTGATTGTAGTATTGGACGCACTCACATACTACGGCGTCTTCTACGCCTCCGCTTGCGTAATAATAGTACAAGTAGCAGTATTTCTTCATCAAATTCCGTCTTGTAAATGAACTCGCATCAGTATTATTTTGCGGTCGAACACAACTGCTCCAAGCAGTCGTAGCCGACAGCATTATGCGGTCGTGTTGTAGTCGTGTACGACTTCAACGCGACCGCTCTAGAGCAGTCGGTCTCGACTGCAACATGCGGTCCGTCTATAGCGGATAAATAAAACTGATGCGAGTTCATTAACAAGATGAATTTCGATGAAGAAACACTGTTTCTTGTACTACTATTACGCAACCGTAGGCGTAGCAGACACCTTAGCATGTGGATGCGTCCAATACTAGAATCAAGAGAACAGCATGGAATATTTCATACTTTAAATCCCCAAATGAGAGAAGACACTAAAAAGTTTTTCAACTACTTTAGACTGTCCGTGGTTTCATTTGATGAATTAGTTAGTATTTTATTTTATTTGAGGGAGTGGCGCGCAGTCGGCAGCAACCGCTTGTAGCGGTCCGTGTATGGTGGGTCCGGCAGCTCTAATCAGTCGACCGCACGGCGGAACTCGACCGCAGAGCGACTGCTCTGACCGCTCAGAAACTGGTCGTGCAGTCCGTGTATGGCGGATATGAATTTAGTATGGAAACTACAGTTCGCCGTGCGGCGAACGCTTAGAGCAGTCGGTATCGACTGCAACATGCGATCCGTCTATGGCCAGCGTATGGCCCGCTTTAGATGAGCCAAGTTTTTGTGTTATTTATAAGCTCATATTTTAAACCATTAAAGTCAGTTGTTACCCAGCTTCAAACAAAGAGTTTCATTTAAGCATCTCCATACGACTACCGCCACCCAACTTAATTCCCGCCCGATTTTTTTTAAATATATATATATTTAAAAAAAACTACTTTTTCTTCCTCCCATACAAAACGCCAATTTCATATGTAAGGACCATTGATATACAAAAAACCCAAGATGCACACTCAACGTCAAAAAAACGTCCTCAAAAAATGAGCGCAACATTCTAAATTGTGCGCTCATTTCAAATAGTCTCGCGTCTATAAGTGGAGTCGATGTTATTTATTTGTGTTTTTTTTATAAATAAATTTATGTACTCTTGAACTTTTTTGTGTGTAGTTTTTGACAAATATATTTACGCTATATAAAGTGTGGGTCAGGGGGTAGCCAATTTAACATTTTTTTTTAATTTAAAGAAAAAACTTTTAAATCGGATTAAAGTTATGTATTATTATAAATTTACAACTATTTAACATCCAACACCTTTTGTCTTCAGTCACCGTGACCACTCACGCTGTAAAGCACCCGAAAAGTCGGATAAATTTAAAATTATGTTAAATAGTTGTAAATAAAAAAGTCATGTTCGACTCCACTCAATACCTTGTCCTACCGACCACGGTCGGTCGTAAATTTTATTGCTTTAAGTACGTATACACTGCGTTGTAATAACAACTTTAAGCAATTCGCGTAAGGTTGATTTTGCAATAATATATGCTTGTAACATATACTGTTATGGACAGAAATAGTGTTTCGGGACACTTTCGAGCGTTACTTTTATTCTAGACTGTGCATCTTGGGTTTTTTGTATATCAATGGTAAGGACCTAATATTTTCTTTGACAGATATTCGAGTAGCATACTCGTAATTAAAGATAGTAGTACCTAATGACAATGAGTAAATTAATTATTTTTTTACGTCTTACTTGCCCCTACGGTAATTAATTGCAGAGGTAAATAGGAGGCAAAATATCTATTTTATATAATTCAAAGTTCTTACTACAACGGATAAAAATTATAGAGAATTGGCGTCGAAAAATAATTGTTAAATAAATCTTCCAAAATAACAGAAATCGAGGATAGTCTAGTGAGATTGTGGTGTAAGTAGTACAACCCCGAAGCACAAACATCAGAAAATAAGTTGTAGGTACATAGGTTGTATAGATATTTCTAAAAACGTGTAAAAATAAAAAAAAACACGTTTTTTCGTTGTAAGCATTACAATTGATAGATTTTGAGAACCTTTTAAGTAAAAGATACCTGTGTCAGGGTTACCTTCCATTACCAAAGACTATAAACTCTACTGAAAATAAGTATATACTATAATATATTATATGCGTAAAAACATGACATGGTATAAAAATAAAACTAAAATATTTTTTTGAAAAAGTTTATTAAACAATTATTACCTACAATTCACATTTAAATATATTTTTTTTTCAAATGGAAATGAAAATCTCATGTGTAAATAACATTACCCTGCAAACACTACATAATACCAAAACCCTAGCAATAAAATGTAGCTAAACATTTAACAATAAAATTAATACCACCACCTGTTAAGTCAGTCAAGTTTTTGCTTATATACTAGTGAAATTTTCATAAATATATCATATTGAAAATAGAAACTACATAAATCGTCTCAATAATGGTGAGAACATCTTACTTAGGTCTTTTTAATACTGTATTTACCAAAACATGAGATTTTTTTGGCTATTTATAATTTTAAACTAATACTAATTTTTAACAAGTTTACACACATGTTAAAAAATTGTTCCTTATCACTCTACCTTGTTAGGAATATTTTTATAGTGTTGACATTCTATGTTCATTATTTTAAAACATTCAATAAAAGGCACATTGCCCTTTAAATTTATCAGTATGGACAAATAATGTAAAATATTGTACTTTTAAAATTGGATTATAGTAAAAGAGGGCCAAACATTATAATTAAGAATCTGGGCTAGAGCTGAATTGATATTTCTGCTTTTTAAAATGCATTATTACAAAACCTTTTACAAGCATTAATTTTGAGAGGTAATAATTAAACAAAAGTAATAATGATGAAAGAAAACAATTAAGCAACAATTGGGTAAGCAAACCAAAGAGGTTATCAATTCAATGTGTATTTTTTTGAAAATTTTTATAATTTAGCATTAACATCCAATTAAATAATACATATATTGGTAACATTTAAAGCTTCAAGTTAGTCTAATAAGTAATTGAATGCTATTTTTACTGAAATCTAAAAAGATATGTAGAGCATGCAGTCATTAAAAAAATACAATGATAATTGTTTTAATTCTACCATCTTCCAAAACATTTCTAAAATCAATCAAGTCTAGATAGTTAGGTAAATTAAAAAAAAAATTCTAAAGGTATGACAGTTGAAACTGGAATTCAGTTTTACTTTCATTCTTGGGTCTAAAGCCTCCAAACACCAATATATTAGAATGTTGATCTTATTTGATTCTCCAATGAAAATGTCATGCTTGCATGCATTAAAAAAATTTGGCCACATCTTGAGACTAGATTTGAAATTGATTAATGTTCGAAGTTACCCTAGACACCTTAACATTTTTTAAATCGGTCATAATAGTCTAGAATCTAGATTAAAGATTCATTTACTATATATATATAGGATACTTATTATAGGTCTATGTTTCTTCAATATTAGGATTTTCTGAGAACAATTGATCATCATTATATGTTCGGAGATACTTCTTTGTAAACACATACAGAATCAAGCCCCATTTCATCATCATAAAAGACCATACTAGTCTTAATACAATGCTGGTGTTAATTGGAAGAATATCTGAAATAAAACAATCATAATTACAAATACATGCTAAATTCCTTATTATGAGATTTGAACCTACTTCAAATATATAAAAAATAATATACATACCTGCTTTGTAATAAATTTCCAAAAATAAATAAAACAGACTAAGTGCCAGCCCAGATATGAATCCAACTATTCCAAAATCGCCAATATATTGTAGAGCCTTTCTTGAAAAGTTGACATGTAAGGTGTCTTTAAGATAGTGGCAGTGAAGCATCATAGTCAATGAGGCATGGAGACCTGGAAAAATAGCAAAACAAAGTTTGTAAATTGAATATGAGGTAATTTGTGCCCTAAATGTACAAATAATTTTCTTACAATTTCAAGTAGGCAAGGTGTTGAGATTAACACAAATTCTAGCTATTAGGTCTATACATATATATTGTCGAGGATAAGAAAATGTCTAATACTTACAAGCCAATAACGCCCACATTCCAGCTTCAATGTTTGCATAAACGATGCAAAAACATATAAATGCCGACAAACCAAGAAACGCACCGAGAGCACTCCATGCTATATGTATTTTCGTGCGTAACATTTTTAAGCACTATTTTCTCAATTGTCTAGTTGAATAATTATGATAATGTTAACGATAACGTTTTTAACAAAAGAAAAATATAAACAAGTTTATAGTTATGTACCGAGTACCGACTACCGAGCTAATTGCTAAATCAAAATACAGTGTTGCCAATTTAGGAAATTTATTTACCCCTTTAGTTATGATACTAGAGTCCTTTTCATGAAAGAAGTCCCCTAGACGCAGCGCTGCAACCGCGCGACATCATGTTGCCATTTATGAGTAAAAATGGCAACATGATGTCGCGCGGTTGCAGCGCTGCGTCTAATACTTACAAGCCAATAACGCCCACATTCCAGCTTCAATGTTTGCATAAACGATGCAAAAACATATAAATGCCGACAAACCAAGAAACGCACCGAGAGCACTCCATGCTATATGTATTTTCGTGCGTAACATTTTTAAGCACTATTTTCTCAATTGTCTAGTTGAATAATTATGATAATGTTAACGATAACGTTTTTAACAAAAGAAAAATATAAACAAGTTTATAGTTAGTACCGTACCGAGCTAATTGCTAAATCAAAATACAGTGTTGCCAATTTAAGAAATTTATTTACCCCTTTAGTTATGATACTAGAGTCCTTTTCATGAAAGAAGTCCCTAGACGCAGCGCTGCAACCGCGCGACATCATGTTGCCATTTATGAGTAAAAATGGCAACATGATGTCGCGCGGTTGCAGCGCTGCGTCTAATACTTACAAGCCAATAACGCCCACATTCCAGCTTCAATGTTTGCATAAACGATGCAAAAACATATAAATGCCGACAAACCAAGAAACGCACCGAGAGCACTCCATGCTATATGTATTTTCGTGCGTAACATTTTTAAGCACTATTTTCTCAATTGTCTAGTTGAATATTTATGATAATGTTAACGATAACGTTTTTAACAAAAGAAAAATATAAACAAGTTTATAGTTATGTACCGAGTACCGACTACCGAGCTAATTGCTAAATCAAAATACAGTGTTGCCAATTTAAGAAATTTATTTACCCCTTTAGTTATGATACTAGAGTCCTTTTCATGAAAGAAGTCCCCTAGACGCAGCGCTGCAACCGCGCGACATCATGTTGCCATTTATGAGTAAAAAATTTACCTATTTTACATTTCGCATATGTAATTTATCAAATAATACTATTTTCAGCATACTTCGATGAAACAATATTTCTGTTATGTAAAAAGTATATTTTTATTTACTTATATAAGCGGTATTCTACCTACATTCAGAAAAGATGAGAAAATAGGGTAAAGAAAAGCATTAAAAAAATTTATTCAGAGTTTTATTGAATAATTGTGATCTTTACTTAAAAAAATTCATTTATTAAAAAAGTACTTACCTACATGCCAATTAAAACTTTTATCCAAAGGCTCGTCTCCATAATTTTAACACTTCCCTATCAAATTTATGTTACGGACGAGCAAATTTAAATGCATTTTTACAATCCACCTAGAATTTCTAGTTACCTACTACTATTACTCTCGTAATTTTTTAACTTTAACGAATAAAAATAAAATTACTAAAATAATGTGAGAATACAAAGATTTTAAGGGTAAGATTAAAAGAGACTTCTCGCAAACTATGGCTACCGTATAGGTCAGTTATCGAAAGCTGGCGCGTTCACAGTACTCACTACTCACACAAATGGAATTTCACTATACAGTATGTTTAAAAATATGACTTTTTTTGCCAAGCCATATATTTTAGTATACTCTGGTTTTAGTAAGGTTGGGTGGGTTGTAAATAAATAAAAATGTGTCAAATACATATAAATATTATGTGCATACGAGGGTAGATCCAAAAGTTCTAAGCCCGACCAAGAACGTAAAAGAGTGTTTGTGTAAATAATTTTTCATTTTTCGACATAAGCTACATCTAGCTTAACACACTTCACTTTTACTTCACTAACAATTCTTTCAATACTCCTCTTAGAAACCCCAGTCGCATCTGATGTCAAATTAAAAATAACATTTTTTCATTAAACTGTTTTTATTAAGATGCTTAAAAATTAAAATAATTAAAAACATTGTGCATCATTTCACGAGATGGTCCTGGTAATGTTTAGACGGTTTATATTTCATAAGACATTTTTTTCAAAGTATTCTAACCTCCAACCAAATAGGAGACACAGACAAAATAATAATGAGAAAAAAGATCAACATGTACAGTAAAGATCAACATAAACAGTAGCAAAAGCAAAACAATAACTGTCTTTTTTATACTCATAAGCTTGACCGAGCGCGAGAGAGACGGTCAGTCTTTTCATGATGCATATTCAGTTTGACAATGACAGTCGCACTTATTCACAGACACTACACAAGTACAAAGTGTCAATGTGTTGAAGCCGCCAGCTTTAGATAACATACCAATATATCACAATCCGATACATTTTTGACGTACGAGAGTCAGACTTATCGCCAAATCTAACCCCAAGACCCCTTTACCCAGATTTACACGGTAATAAAATAAAATACGGAACACTCAAGTACTATAACATACAAATATGCGAAAGTCTATTATTAGTAGATAGTTTGCGTTAAATATTTTCTGAATTTTACCCTAATTATCCTTGAGTGGCATATCACGGTTGTGTTAGCAATATTCGATCGTTAGAAAATATTAAAAAATGAAATAATGAAGTCCTCACTAAGGTAGTCTGGCTAATGAAACAAGATAACGAAAAAGCGCGGCAAATTCTAGTATGGACTCGATCTTTTAAAAAAATATAATTATTTGGTTACAACTAGTTTTCCTAGTCTGTGTCCAGCTTTTAGTAGCCCATAATGCATATGTTCTCTATGTACACTTGTGTCCAACTCTAACCATAGTTACTTGTTTGTAATCACTCAAGTGATTTTTTAATATTTCATAGTACGAGTTTGAATCAAAACAAGATGTTAAACAAATATAATCTTTTATTATTAAAAACAATAAAAATGTTACTTTTTGGACAATTCTTGGGTTGGATTTAGAATTACGTCGCCCGAATTTAATGATACTGATTAGGGAGCGTTCAAGTATTACGTTACGAATTTTGGAGGTGGGGGGGTGGGCTTTTGTAAAACGTTACGATGCGGGGCGGGCATTAAATTACGTGTTATTGCAAATATTACTTTCGACATTCCAGTACTTTACATTACATAATGGTAACTGTTAGGTATAAAGAGTCACTAGGTGGTCACGAACAAGGGCGGATCCAGCTTTGGTGCCAGGAGGGGTCACATAGTCGTGGTCAAGTCAAGAACTTATAATTTAATTTTGATAACAATAGATACAAGTAAAAAGTAGGTATTTTATTAATGTACGTAAGTATTGCACTTATCAATATTTATTCTTTATTGTACACTTGAAAAACTTAACACATATATTGTGTACATACAGGTTGGTCAACTAGTGACATCAATAATTTTTCAAAATCTCAGCTTCCTAAAATTAGTTAAAGCTACTCAAAAAAGGTTTTAAAGTTAGAAGTTTAGTTTTTAGCTGGATTTGTTCAAACATTTGACTTCAATTTAAAAATACAAAAGAAGTTTCCATAGCTTCTGGCTAAGTTTAGAAACTCCCAGGGTTCTAACTACCAAAAATAGAAAATTATAATACTAGCTGATCCGGCAAACGTCGTTTTGCCATGTATAATAAAAAAATAGGGGTTGATCGTAGAGGGGTGAAAATTGGGGTTGTATGTATTTTTAAAGTTGTATCATGAAAAAAAAAACTTTATCTAAAAATTAAAAAGTAATAATTTAGGCGTGGACTACCCTTAAATTAAGGGGATGAAAAATAGATGTTGTCCGATTCTCAGAATACCAATATGACACAAAATTTCATGAGAATCGGTCAAGCCGTTTCGGAGAAGTTCGAACGAAGTTCGAGTGTCAAAACACCGCGACACGAGAATTTTATATATTAGAAATAGTATTTTTCAGTAAATTGTGTTTTTTATTTGTTATTTAAAAAACAGGTAATTTCACAACTAGCAATAATCATTTCGAATAACATTTTGAATTTTGAGTGGTAAGACCAAAATTATTGTAAGAATTACACGAGCTACTTTTTTACGGGTATTAAAATTAGTAAAAATATATCATAAAGTTTTGCCATAAGAAAAATAAAAAAAAAAAAACAGTTTTAATGCTTCAATGATTTTTGCCTATTGACATGAAAAGGCCGATTACAGCTACATTTATTTTACGGGTATTAAAATTAATTAAAAAACCACATTATTAAGTTTAATTTACCATAAGAATAATAAGTCGAAAAAAACATTTTTAATGCTTCAATGATTTTTAGCCTATCCACAAAAAAAAATCCACCGATTACAACAAAAAAGACCAATTAGTAGTAGTAGTACCATTCTTTTTCTATGATTTTGGTAGCTTAGAACCCTGTGGAGTTTTTAAACTTAGCTAGAAGCTATGGAAACTTCTTTTTGTATTTTTAAATTGAAGTCGAATGTTTGGTCAAATCACTTAATAAACTTCTAACTTTAAAAACTTTTTGAGTAGCTTTACTAATTTTAAGAAGTGGGATTTTTTACTTGAACATCATTTAAGGCAATCATTTAACAGAAAAAAACTGCGAAATACCTACAACAAAAAAAGATATGAATTTTTGAAACCTCGCTGGCAGAAAACACAAAAAAATGTATAACTCGAAAACTACAAAAATCACGGAACTACATGGGGTATTTTAGTATACCCCCAGGTGTGAGTAATCTAAAAAAATTATTGACGTCAATAGTTGGACCAACCTGTATACACGTAATATTACATCTTCTCTTGAAGAATCAGACAAATAGAAACAGACAAAATACATATATTTTAATAACTAAATCAATTTTTCTTTAGCCTGTTTTTCCGAAAGCGTTATTACGTCATTTACGTCAACGGGTACGTTTTCATGAACGTGGAGAAGTGCCAGTCCGGTTAGGCGATCTTCAACCATTGAAGATCTTAGATTTAATTCTCGCAACGTAGAGAAAGACCTTTCTGCTGTCGCTTCGGTGACAGGGTAGTGTATCAATTTTCCTATATACATATTGATGTCACAATTTAAAATAGGACTATGTTATGATATGTTGAAGTTTAGTCGTTCCGATTCCGATTGAGGTAAGGTCTAGCTAGATGTTTCATAGCGACAACGCGCGCAAGTGTGGCGCGGAAAATTCAAATTTTCGATGCGTTCATTCCCAAACGTTTGCCATCATGTATGATGTTATTATATTATATTAAATTAATTAAATATTGAAGGTATGTAGTTACATATAATCTGTATGGTGACAAATTTATATATAAAATCATTATGTTCAATTAGTGGTCCACCTAAGTCCTGCTCGGGGGGTCATGACCCCCATACCCCCTGGATCCGCCGTTGGTCACGAAACGTTTACTATACTTGGTTACAGTACTGTACTTGAGTACAGAAAAACGTTACGGCGCGTTACACGGGGGGGTCAATAATCTCAAAAAATTGCGTGACGTAATACTTGAACGCTCCCTTATGCAGGAGTCTCGGGGAACCTTGATTGGAACACCTCCAAGTGAAATTGTTACCCAATTCTTTAATATAATCTATCCTATAAGATTAATTGAAAAACACCCACAATATATATTTGTCATTGCATAATAGACAAACCAACATTTTAAAAATATTTTTGTCTTTTTATAATTTATTTTAACCAATTTAAATTATAAATCTTATGGCACCAATTTTGATAAATGTAATATGTACATATAATTATGATATTATCTCTTTACAAACTTAATGCATCAGGAAGAAATTAGTTAAATCCCCTCCAATTTCCTTATAATTATGGCTTTAATAGTCTTAAATAATTAGGTCTCATTTTACTAAGTAAATCTGGATTAACTTCTGATTTTCTATGTACCCTAAGATGACTTTTCATATTACCGAGTTGAGCATACCCTCGCCCACATACAGGACACTTAAATGGAGTTTCACCTGTATGTAAACGCATGTGCTCTTTGAGGTAATCTTCATGGAAAAAACTACTATCACATACAGTACAAACTGCTGGCCGTTGACCTGAAATATTTTTATTTCAAAATCATTCTTTTAATTTGTTCCTTTTATATGCTTACAATATACGCACAACTATGTAAGTGTGAAAACTTAGTTCACCAACCATTACTCTTAAAATAAAATGCTATTGGCTACTTCTTAAAAATTTACAGTTTTTTAACATAAGCCATTGAGAGAGTTTATATTATGTAGAGAGTTTATGTTATGAATATTTTAATAATTCATTTTCTACAACTTATTGAACACTTACATTAATGAATTTGTACAACTCCTAAAAATTAAAGATGTTAAATGCTGTTTTAAGATACAGAATAAATACTTCCATTGTATTTAAAAATCATGACTATAAATACATAATGATTATTCTAATGAATGTATTCTGACAATTACTATACCTGTGTGAGCAGATCTGATGTGAATGGTAACAGATTTCTGACACTTAAATACTTTATCACAGAGATCACACGAAAATGTTTTTATTGGTTTTAAATGTTTATTGTGCACATTTTTAATGTGGGTCATCATTTCTCCTCTAAATGTAAAACCTCTTCCACATGTAGCACATATAAAGTTATCCTCTTTTTTATGACACCTTCGTATGTGTCTATTTAAATAATAATTTGAAGCTAATATTTGTGGACATTCTGGACATTTTATTGGTTTCTTGAAGTGAATATTCCTTTTATGTATGGCTAATTTATCTAAGCTCTTAAATGTTACACCACAGAGATCACATAATTTAGGTACTTTTGTTTTTTCAACCTTTTCTTTTGGTAATTTTATATCAACTCTTTTTTAGTTTTGATGTTTCCTTTTTTTTTGATGTGGTTACTGTAGTGGTTTTTAAACTAGAAAATGTTTAATTAAGTTTATTAAATGCATAAGGGGAGTAAGAAGTCTTTATAAGAATAAAAAAATTACCACCATGTGTCACCATTCCAAACAAATTCACCCTCTAATATAGAAGAAGCTATGTTATTGGTTCGAGTAAGATTTTTCTTAAATGATTGTTTTGATACTTTATTCAGTCTAATTCTATGTTTAGATTTGTTTTCAGTCTCTGATTCTTTTTTTATCTCACTGAAACCACAAAGGGGCTCTTCATCACTACTTTCATTTTTAAAGTTTTCTCTCTTGATTTCAACTTCAATTTGGCCAATGCAACTATCAAGACTGTAGTTAAATTCTTCTTGTTTGACTAATAATTTATTCCTAAGTATGATGTGTGTTTCTTTGAATTTTGTAATGAACTTATACACTTTAAATAATGTATCTTTACAATTAGAGCATATATTTTTAGGGTATCCATCTATGTCTGTAATCTAAAATTAAATTATATTGAGAAGAAATAAACGAGCATGAGAAATTTATAAAATTTTTTTAACTTACTGTTTCATTTACACAAAATGAAAGTTTTGTTATAATATTACTTGTGTTTACAAACAGTGGTATGGTAGCTCCACTCTCCAGGCATATTCTACACAAGTTTACCGCCATTCGTATATCTAAATATTAGGTTAAAGTAAGTATATAAATGTCTATTTAGCTTATAATGATGATCATCAGTATGTAGTGTCTAACTTATTCTTAGTCACTAATATCTAACTTAAAATGCTTGTTCCGTTTTAACATTATTTACGGATACTTATGCAACAAATCATATATTTTATGCATGTTTTAGTACAATAAAATATACAAGTAAATAAAATATGTTAATTGTTATCACAGGCAAAACCTTAATATTGACTTGATAGTTGATACTTGATAGGTTTTTTTTTTAATTTTATGGCCAGGGGCCTTAGTCAAGATGCCTTAACAGTAGTGTATGTAGAAAGTCAAAAACTAAATTTGTATGAAAACTTTTCGACACGAACTGTCATTTCCATACAAATTTAGTTTATGACTTTCTACATACACTACTGTTAAGGCATCTTGACTAAGGCCCCTGGTAAGTTGGTAACGTAGACGGACTATGGTATAGACCAGGCATCAGCGTACAGCGTGTCAGATAGCGAATGATTGATCATTGACATAACTTCATATTGTATATATTTTTTTTTTTTTTTTTAATTATTTATTAGCCATTGTATATTATCATTCCACTAATATTGCCATGAGAAAAAATTTCGCTATTTTGTGCGGTAATTTTTACCATAAGAAATAGCCCACAAAAAAAATGTTAGGGGGTACTCACTCACTCCACACTCCACTCAAAATATTTGTTGGACTATCCTTAAACTTAAGACTTTACTAATATTGCAAGAGTTAACTACTTACGTGTATAAAAAGTGTAGTTATCGCACGTGGTTGTAAAAACGTATTATTTTTTTCTTTTGAAAACAATTCATTTCAAAGTGTCTTGAGCATATCCGGGTATTTTGAGTTGGATGTCAGTTTAATCTACCCGTATACTCAGTCCATTTATTATTTAAATACGGTTCATTCGGAAAACTTAAAAAATTTGAAAATTTATTCAAGTGCTGGTAGCCCCAACGAGTAATAATCCAACTATTTACAAAGGACGTGTCCTTGTAAAGTGTGGCAACTACCTGACGTAAGTAACATGATTCGCAATTTAGTCGGTTTATATTTATTTTATTTTATTTATTAACACTTCGTTGAAAAAACAATAAATCAAACACAATACAAAAAAAAAAAAAATATAAGGGATGCAACGGGCGGCCTTATCGCTAATAAGCGATCTCTTCCAGGCAACCCTAGTTAAAGAAAAAACTAAAAAAAAAACATGATTCGTGCGAGAAGTGCAGTAACAAATGTTATATAAAAAAAAATATATATATACATAGTACCTTAATCTAAAGTAATACAAAAAAAAAAAAAATATTAACAACAGACTAAAAACTTAAAAGCTAATCTTACAAATACATGGACAGCAAATAGTGATGTAAAAGGAAACATAAGATTTATACAAGTCACGATTGATCAGGATAGGATAAGGTTAAGTAATGATTATACAGAAGAGTTTTAAAAGATGACAGAGAGGTAGCCAATCGTACGGAGTCGGGCAGCGTATTCCACAACTTAATGGCGGAGATCGTGAATGAATTGCCTAAGAAGGATGAAGTGTGAGATGGAATTTCCAATAAACATCTATTAGAAGAGCGTAACATATAGTTAGAAGGACCTAAGAATTTAAAGTGATTTTTGAGATAAGAAGATTTATACTGAAAAATATGTTTGGAATTGTCGTATTTACAGTTTTAAATCATTGAAGATTGCTTATTATTGACCTAAATACATATTCGAATGAATAATTCTTGAACAAAGTTACTGAGTCGTAACAAAATAAGCTACTTGCCGATGAAAGGTTATGTTTGGTTCTTTACGTTCACTATAGCTTTTACAGCCAATTATGCAACAATTCACCATGACTGACACTTTAAATACACCTCTTATAAGGATAAAGTCTTAAAATATGGGTTTGACTTGGGTTTCACAAATTTATCAGTAAGCGGTGAAAACTTGTTTATCACCAAGGGATCGGTGGTAAACAAATAAAACCCAATACGCAAATAGAGATAGAAAAACTGATACTCTGTTTCGCTCGCACTTAAGTATTTCACGTTAATGCCTTCTCTATTTAGTTATTATTCTTATTTTAGAAGCTCTAGTTGTATACTCTATCTACGCCTGAGGTTTTATTATTTATAAATCATAGACATTTTGTTACTTGTAAAGTCAATGTTATAGGCCAATATGAATGAGTATTGAGTAGACTCAAGACTTTGACAATCATACTGAAAACATTATTGCCTTTATAAACAATTATTTTAAAAATTTGACATTCAAAACTATAAGGAACCTAACCTTAAGTAAAGTTCCATATTACTTTTATTATTATGAAGACTTTCTATAATTGATGCATCGGTAAAAGACTTAAATTTATAATGGTATTCAAATGGACATACCTATATTTTTATCCAACTAATATCCTCTGATTCTATTTATTTAGTCCTAAGTCGAAATTAAAATTGATAATTAAAGTTTAATTTAGTTGGTTTTTAATCTATATTCTATCTTCATTTTTTAGAGCGAGATCACAAGACCAACCATAGACAAAATTGATCGACGGGCTGTCCGCTGTCATCAGCCATCACCTGATTGGGATTGGGAGTAAATTGCTGGATATTATTTAGTTATTGTTGAATTAAATAAAATAACAACCGAAAATGTCTTCAAAGGATAGATTACCAATATTCCCTTCCCGAGGGTAAGCTAGATTCCCGTTATTGACATATTTGATATTTTTTCTATGTAACAACTTATGTGTGCACCAAATTCATTAATGGTCATAAAAACCTGTAATTTCGTGCCTTTCAGTGCTCAGATGTTGATAAAAAATCGTTTGGCTGGAGCACAAAAGGGTCATGGACTTCTTAAGAAAAAAGCAGATGCTTTGCAAGTGAGGTTCCGTATGATCCTGAGTAAAATTATTGAGGTATGTATAAATTTTACTATTACTACTATTTCTGCATAAAAATGGGAAGAAACATACTACTAACAAGTTTAACATATTACATAGGAATTAAAATAATGTATTGGCAATAATTTGACAAGATCAATAAACTGATAATTTTAGCTAATTTATTTATTATTTATCCCTATATATATTAGAAGAAACATTATTACAAACCAGATAAAAAATCTAAGACCCTTAAATCATCGTAATTGTTATCTTTATAAACCTTAATCATTGTATTCTAAAAAAAACAATGATTAAGGTTTTTTTTAGAATACAATGGTTAAGGTATGATATACTATGAAACCGCCAGTTGCTCTCCTTTTTATTTAATTATGTCAATTGTACTATATTTATGTACATGCAATTAAGTGTTAATAAATAAATAAATAAAACAATAATCAAATACAAAAATGTCAATATTCAAATACAATGTGACTAACTAAAAAGACTTGAAGACATAAGAAAATAACTTTGAAAAATTCTCAAGAATAAAATATGTCAAATATTTCTAATGTTGTGTTCAATGGTCTTTTAAAAAAATCTTTTAGACTAAAACTTTGATGGGTGAAGTCATGAAGGAAGCTGCATTTTCATTGGCTGAAGCAAAATTCACAACTGGGGACTTTAATCAGGTGGTTCTCCAGAATGTTACTAAGGCTCAAATTAAAATTCGATCAAAGAAGGACAATGTTGCTGGTAAGTAATATGTGAGAATTTATCTTAGATTTTCTGAAAATTTTCAATACATAATTAAACCTAAATAAAATAGTAATTAAATTATTAAATTTAACTTAATTTTACATAGTCATATTCTATGATAATTGATAGGACACATTTAAACATATATCAACTAGAAAGAAGTTTAATTTCCTTGTTTCCAAAGAGAGGTTTGTAGTAAGAAAGTACTATTTTAAGTAGTTTTTAATTATCTAGACTAATCATTTGCTTTTTTTAAGTTACCTAGTCTGAAATATACTCTTGCTAATTCCAGGAGTAACCCTTCCAATCTTTGAGTCGTACCAAGATGGTTCAGACACTTATGAGTTAGCGGGTCTGGCTCGTGGTGGACAGCAATTGACCAAGCTTAAGAAGAACTTCCAGAGTGCTGTGAAGCTTCTGGTTGAGTTGGCTTCACTGCAGACATCTTTTGTTACTCTTGATGAGGTGATCAAGGTTACCAACAGACGTGTTAATGCTATTGAGCATGGTAAGTGTGTTCAATAATTCATAGAAAGTTTGATAAAAGGTTTTGTGTTGTGTATATTATGTGTGTGTGACCTTGACTACATATCTTTTTTTTACACAAAACTATTTCTTTTTTTAAATACTTGCTGGAGTTATTCAAGTCACAAAAAGAGATCTATCTATACCGCTAATATTTAAAATACTTGCCATATACTCCCAAATATACATATAATGGATAAATGCATGTATTTTTATTTGAGGCAAGTTTTTGTAGGCATGGCGTTGTACACTTTACATGAGTAAACATTTTTTATATTTTTTATTTGTCAAACAACTTATATAACATTTACAGCCAGATTTTAATAAGATGACAATGCTAAAATTTAGTAACCAAGTCTCGGCTAAAGATTCTTCAACTTAGTTTTACTTTTTAATAAATAATTTTCATTTATTAATCTTTTGAACGGTTTAAATGATATTGTTGGATTTAAAACCTAACCAAAAGTTTGTATTATGTCTAATCACTTATTCAGCAACTAACGACTATATTTACTTTGCCAGTTTGAACGGATTAACACTCAGGATAATTTATTTTCAGTAATCATACCGCGCCTTGAAGCAACTCTTGCCTACATTATCTCCGAATTGGATGAAGTCGAGCGTGAGGAATTCTACCGGCTTAAGAAAATCCAGGACAAGAAGAAAATCATCAAAGATAAGGCTGAAGCTGTAAGTATAATTTATAAAATAATTTTACTTAATCATCTAAACCGTAGCTATCATACATCTGGTATTTATAAAAGTTTTTAATTATTTTATTTAACTGTTTATCACTAATCCAGAGGTTAAAAAATAAAAAATATTAATTAATAATTGAAAAATATAGCTAAATATATATTATATACACAATAACGTTTATAATAATAAAGGCACTCAGAAAGACATTTTACATTATGTACATAAAGCTGATCTTTTCCAGTTAGGTTAGGTTAGATAGACTATATTATATTAATGTTCAAGAATGAAATAGTTCCTGACTAATACTAGAATAGTAAGACTGCTAAATTACTCTTTGAATTAATTTTAAGAACTGGTATAATATGATAGTAAATACGTCAACATGAATAGGTAATCGAATAGTTGACGTAATATTAATAACTCTTTGCATGGCTTGAGCTACGTTCAATGGGCGCGTATTTCGAACTACTGGAAACCGAAGTGCCTATATTAAAATTTACCTCAAAAAGTATTTGTGTATGCAGGATGGCACCCCTCATTCTATAGCTGTTATTATAAATATAATAATAAAATTTAATATTCTAGATTGTTGGCATTAGTTTTATAAAAAAAACTCAGTGCTACTAACAAATAACGGGGTGTTTACGTACAAAACGTACATAGTTTCAATAAAATTCGTAAAAAAAAATTAATTATTTATATTTAAAAATTATTTAATATTATTTACAATTATTAGCGAAGTTCTATACAAAATTAATTTGCTTTATGTAATTTTACTAGCGGACTCGACTGATGTTGTCCTGTACACTTGTCTTGAATACAAAAAAACATCTAATTATAGCTCTTTTCCAACGAATCTTTAATCCACTTAAACACCCGCGAAAAATTACAACAAAATCATTCCAGCCGTTTATAAAGAGTTTTATTATTATAAACACGCACAGAAGACATTATTTATACACTGCACGTCTTGTTCGTCTCAAAATATATTGTACACTTAAATTTATTTATAAATAAATTAAAAAGATGTCTACTAAAGTGAAATGAGTATTCTACTCTCTCTATTTTTAATATTTTATTTTATTTTTTCTCTAAAATTACTTCAATTTATGTTGTACCTGACGTATGTATAAAGATCTGGATTTTAGTAAACAGATTAACCTATCGCTTCAGACTTATACTGTGTAGGCAATTGATAATAAATATATTTTCAGAAAAAAAAAGCTTTGGTGGCTGCCGGTGTGGATATTCGTGGCGATATCGTAAATCTTCTGGATGAAGGCGACGAGGACTTGCTCTTCTAAATCCAATCATAGCCATACAGTAGACTGCAATTTGGTCCAATCACGTTTGATCAAATATTAGTCAAAAGTTTTCATAATGTTCTGTACATACCCATGTTAACGCTTAATCGGTTCTCCCTGTTTGTATGGCTAGATGTATGTAAGCATTCCAAGGTTTAGAGTTATACAGTTTTTAAATCAGATATTTATATTACAGAAGAAATCAAGTAAGCAATGCGTGTACGTGTAGGCATGCGTATACGCGAATACGCAAGCGTACGCGTATACGTACGCGAGTATGTCTATGGTATTGTGTGCGGGAACGTCCCTTAAGTAAAGATCGCATAAGTACACCAACTAGTATTTTCGTTGTTATATTTTAAGTAAGATCATGTAAATAAAAGTTTGTGAAGCGATATATTATGAATTATAAATATTATTGATTGAAATGGTATTTTATTTTAAACATTTACAATAAGTTTAGCAAAGTCAAGTTTAAACGACATTTATAATATCCTTTAGTTTCGTGAATACTAAAAAAAGAATATAAAAACTAAACTATTATTATATTATCTTCAATAAGCGCTCTAACGGTTTTATGCTCCACTAAACAGAATGGCTAGAATATGCAATAGCTGCGGGACCTGTACAATCTTCATATTTTTTCGGATCGCCCATCCGATTACAGAAAGCGAATTTTGTTACCATTCTCTTAGGTTCCTTTGCTATGCTTTATAATTTAAGCATAGCAAAGGAACCTAATAAACATAATTTCTCTTAATTTCCTTAAACTAATTAAAAGCATTATTATGTGCACGCAGTCTGAACCTATTATCGGGGCCACACATTGGTTATAACTTATAATTTGTAAAACTTGTTTCTTTCACTTTTTTGTTTGTTACTGGTATAAAATTAATAAACATAACTTAATTTTTGAAAGAAAACTATTTTGGTATAGATTTATTATTGCTCCAAATACTTTATAATAGACAAACAATACGTACATAGATTATAGTTATCGATTAGCTGTTAAAAAGTATCGATTACCACGTTTATGTAATAAACCAAATTCAACGGCACATTTGAGAATTGTCGCTATAGAAATTGCGCCCTTCGTCGAATAGTCAACTTTATAATGCTTTTTGAGGAAACTTATTAATCTTTGAGCAGTTAGTCCTTCCTTTGATGGCATTTTGTGGAATGCCCAAAGGACTATTGCAGCTGGTACAGACTTACGTAAGCCAAATTTTCGCCTTATCGCCGGTGATGAGTGACATATCCTCGTCTGAAAGCTTAAGGACGACACCGTGCGTTCGGAATTTACGACTGATTTCATTTTACTAAAGATTTTTCGACTTTTTTTGATGTTTGAATTATACTCTTGTTTTGATATGTCAAATGGGCATTGACAACCTTCGGGAAACAATTGTCAAAGTCATATAGCGAAAAAAGTTTAAATCTATGACAATTTTAAGAGGTTTATTAAAAGGCATTACCTGTTTATGGTCTTATTTTTTGATAAAAATAATATTTTTATGTTATATTTACGATTTAGAAAATACAGATATATACTTTTTCAAATTTATTATTGTCGTGAATTACGTAATACCTATAAAAAACTATATTATCTTATTAAACGACCCTTAACATACAAAGCCTTATATCGGCTATATAATTTACATATTTGTGTTAAGTACCATCAATGGACTAAACACTTATGTCGCCGTTTTATTAATCATTCTTGTCTAGAAGAACTAATCAATGCCACTAGTGCTAAAAATATTGTTTCACTAGTTTACTAGAACCGGAGTTTAACAGGTACGCTACCTATTAATTACCTGGTTTATTAGCGACATGCATTAAAGCCCTACGAACATTGGCTCTCACAATATTTGCTTACAAAAAAATAACTTGAATTTTCAATAAGTATATAAAATTGCTATTCAATGTTTTGTGCTTATTGCAAACGAACGATATTGACGAATAGGTCTACAATTATGCATATTTACTTAATCAAAGAGGTTTTCCAGCATTAGTATTACATAGTGAATATTAATCCAACGAGTTCATCAACTAGTCGTCTTATCAGTCTAGTTCGGATGGAGCGAATCCAGAGGGGTGACTTATTGCGAGTTCATTTACAATGACACAGGGTACACTCTGTGCGATGAATGTGGAACAAGCTTTGTGCCTTTTATGGATGTTACGGAGGAAATTCTCTTAGGTTTTTGTTTATGGTATTTCATTTGGAATTTGAATTATGAAACTACGAAGCGCGCTACCGCTTCGTCTTCTAATTTTTCTTTATCATATATTAGAATAAAACTTTTTAAGGTTTCTCAGCTTCTTTAGGCTATTTAACTGTATATATTTTTTATTTTATTCATAAAAGCACCTAGAGCAGTGTTTCCCTACCTTTCCCATGCCCCACCTAAGCCATATTAAAATTCTTATGCCCAATATATAACATTGTTAACGAAACAGTAAATTTTCTAAAAAAAATTAGACAAAACTAAAAATCAAATTCTAAATAATTTTAATACATTTTCGAATAGGCACTTAACAATCAAATTGCGCCGTGCGGGCGTTGGCCCCACGTTGGGAAACATTGACCTAGAGCCTATTGGTAAATTGTAAAATAAAAATTACTCCAGAACTGTATCACGGAATTGATTAATAATAGAAGCACCGCTAGCAAGCCGTAAGTTAAAAGCGTGCTATCCAGGAATAACGCATTCAATATTTTGCATACAAAATATGTGCAACGCTAGAATTCAATTACCTACATCTTGTTTCCAAGAAAGAAGGACCGGGCCTTTTCCGTGTTAGAGTCAGTATTTATCAAATTAGAACAGGAGGCCAACGGGCAGGAGGCTCACCCGATGTGATACCGCCGCCCATGGACACTCTCTCAATGCCAAATGGCTCGCAAGTGCGTTGCCGGCCTTTTAAGAATTGACGCTCTTTTCTTGATAGACCCTAAGTCGAATTGGTTCGGAAATATTTCAGTGGGCAGCTGGTTCTACATAGTGATGGTGCGCGGCAAAAGCTGCTTTAAAAACGCTCAGTTGTGGAACGAGGGACGTCGAGGTGATACGGGTGGAATTTCGTATTCTACCTCATAGAGCAGGGTTGACCTAGTGGCGTCAGTGTGCGACTTTTTTCTCTGAGGTCATAGGTTCAATCCCCGGCTGTGCTCCAATGGACTATCTATGTGTGCATTTAATATTCGCTCGAACGGTGAAGGAAAACGTGAGGAAACCGGCTTGCCTTAGACTCAAAAAGTCGACGGCGTGTGTCAGACACAAGGAGCTGTTCACGTACTTGCATGCCTATTTATATATGGCTGATTGTGCGGATTTTTATAATTCTAGCAAATAAACGATTTAATTTCTATTATATTGATTAATTATGAAACAGATAGGTACAGAAATCTAAGGACCAGACTTAAAAAGGTTGTAGCACCACTGATTTATTTTATAATTTTTTTAGAATGACAGCTGTTATTTTTTATTAGAGCCACGATATTAATATTCATGAAAATAGGTTAATTTGACATTAAATAGATTACTGTTAACGGTCGAGCGGAGTTCGACATTTCTTTGAACATCCCACGAGCCTACCTACGCCCGACAAGAAGACCTTTAAACTTTATAATTTCAGCCTCATTGCCTGCTGGCCACTTGAACTTTGAACTTATTTACCTACTCTTTGAAATTAATACGCCCCTATGGGCATGAAATAACTCTAGTGCACCATGCTTTATAAAATTTATTTGATGTTTTTATATACTTTGATCGTTTCATCGTTTGATTTGCAGTGGATACTTTAACATTAATATGTTTTGAATTACGAAACTCAGATAAAAATAATAAAACTTATTAACTTGGTATTCTGTCTTTTGCAGAAAATCTTAGAGAATAGGCAATTTGTGATGCGGCTAGACTAAGGGCGCCCCGCGGAGGGTAATGCCCTTAGATTACTGCAGGGTTAAGTTTTCAAGATATAAAAAAAACAGTTTGTTTCGATAATTGACTGATAACTGCGGAATTTTGCCAAGTTGGAAGTTTCTATGCTGTGATACGCTTTCTTACATGTCTTTCTAATTGAGCTTTGAATTCTGACACCGTTAAGATCCATAATTGTAAGTTTATAGTATAAGAAACAAATTAATGGAAGACTTCGAATAACGTATGATTACTTTTAATTAACAATAATAAAAGCCTTTTAATTCAGATACTTTTACATTTAAACACGTTTCTATTTCAATCAATCTTCTTTCAGGTTTTCTTTCTTCTTTTTTGGCAATGGCCTCCTCCAAATCTCGCCATTCCTGCTGTTTCATTAAATTATATCCACTATCCACCTTCTAAGTTGTCTTCCTCTTTTTAATTTGCTGTACCTTGGGCACCAGTTTAGTACTTTTTTGCTCCACTTTTCTGTTCCTCTTGCCATGTGCCTCATGTGTCTATTATTTTCTTCCCTATCATACATCGCTTCATCGATCTTTGACACACCTGTAGCTTTATATGCTGCGCGTTAGTGGGCGTCCAATCGCTATTATATAAAAAAAATATCGTTTCATTATTATGTGACAATACTCGTACTACGACGTAGCGCTACGCCGTAGATTGTGTTAATCGATAATTGCTCTACATTAGAACGGGTTATGTTACAAAGTACTTTCAATATTATTGAAGTGAAACTTCTTTATCGAGGTTGGAAAAAAATTTTGTGTAACATTTTTGCGTTACGCGTCACATTTTTCGGTTACGCGCCATGTTGCTTTTTGAAGTCAAACTTCTTTATCGGCGTTGGAATGAAACTTCTTTATCGACGTATGGGAGAAATTTTGTAGCAAATCGTCACGTTTTTCAATGATAGTAATAATTATATTACAATTAATGAAATTCTATAATAATCTTCGTAGTAATAAGGTAAAATGAAATATTTGTATTCATGTCTATGATAATAAAAGCCTTTTGTTAAACTTTATCTAATTTAACGAATTTCTGTAAAGT